GGAGAGAGAGAGCGGGGATAGAGAGAGAGAGAGGGGGAGAGAGCGGGGATAGAGAGAGAGAGGGGAGAGAGCGGGGATAGAGAGAGAGAGGGGGAGAGAGCGGGGATAGAGAGAGAGAGGGGGAGAGAGCGGGGATAGAGAGAGAGAGGGGAGAGAGAGGGGGGATAGAGAGAGAGAGAGAGGGGAGAGAGCGGGGATAGAGAGAGAGAGAGGGGAGAGAGCGGGGATAGAGAGAGAGAGAGAGGGGAGAGAGCGGGGATAGAGAGAGAGAGGGGGAGAGAGCGGGGATAGAGAGAGAGAGGGGGAGAGAGCGGGGATAGAGAGAGAGAGAGGGGGATAGAGAGAGGGAGGGGAGAGAGCGGGATGAAGAGAGAGAGGGGGGAGAGAGCGGGGATAGAGAGAGAGGGGGGAGAGAGAGGGGAGGCGGGGATAGAGAGAGAGAGGGGAGAGAGCGGGGATAGAGAGAGAGAGGGGAGAGAGCGGGGATAGAGAGAGAGAGGGGGAGAGAGCGGGGATAGAGAGAGAGAGCGGGGATAGAGAGAGAGGGGGGAGAGAGAGAGGGGGGAGGAGAGAGAGGGGGGAGAGAGAGGGGATAGAGAGAGAGAGGAGGAGAGAGCGGGATAGAGAGAGAGGAGGAGAGAGCGGGGATAGAGAGAGAGGGGGAGAGAGCGGGGATAGAGAGAGAGAGAGGGGGAGAGAGAGCGGGGATAGAGAGAGAGAGGGGGAGAGAGCGGGGATAGAGAGAGAGAGGGGGAGAGAGCGGGGATAGAGAGAGAGAGGGGGAGAGAGCGGGGATAGAGAGAGAGAGAGAGGGGAGAGAGCGGGGATAGAGAGAGAGAGAGGGGAGAGAGAGCGGGGATAGAGAGAGAGAGGGGGAGAGAGCGGGGATAGAGAGAGAGAGAGAGGGGGAGAGAGCGGGGATAGAGAGAGAGGGGGGGAGAGAGCGGGGATAGAGAGAGGGGGAGAGAGCGGGGATAGAGAGAGAGAGGGGGAGAGAGCGGGGATAGAGAGAGAGAGAGAGGGGGAGATAGGGAGAGAAGGGAGAAAGAGGGAGGGGGCAGATAGAAAGAGAAAGAGGGGGTGATAGAGGGAGAGAAAAGTGGTGAGAAAGAGGGAGAAAAGGAGAAAGGTAGAGAAAGAGAGAAGATAGAGGGATAGAGATATATAGAGAGAGGAGATAGGTAGAGAGACAAACTAGTATCTCTACTACTACTACTACCAGCACCTCAGTTGTGTGGTCTTGACACCGGCCTCAGTTGTGTGGTCTTGACACCGGCCTCAGTTGTGTGGTCTTGACACCGGCCTCAGTTGTGTGGTCTTGACACCGGCCTCACTTGTGTGGTCTTGACACCGGCCTCACTTGTGTGGTCTTGACACCGGCCTCAGTTGTGTGGTCTTGACACCGGCCTCAGTTGTGTGGTCTTGACACCGGCCTCAGTTGTGTGGTCTTGACACCGGCCTCAGTTGTGTGGTCTCGACACCGGCCTCAGTTGTGTGGTCTTGACACCGGCCTCAGTTTAGTGGTCTTGCCGGTGACATTACATGACGGATCCGCAGACTTGGGTCTCGTTACTCCGGCTTTGTAAGATGTTTGTGAATACAAGTGTGTACACAACTCATTAATGCCCAATGCTCAGACTCCGGTGGATCAGAGAGGCTCATGGGTAAATACATTCTGCAAACATTTCCTACCGGTGAATTCTCTCGTGCCATAAGCTGCTGTGCAATTATTTCAACACACTTTCCCTCCACTTATTTATCAGGTTGACAGTTTTTTTTTTGTTATTTGTATTCTTTCTCAGATTGTCGTACTCTTGGACTAAACAGAATCAGTCGCTGCAAATGGTTTTGACCTTTTTGTTGCTTGGATTTGATTTGTGCCAAAGATAGAAACTCATTTTGTAAAACTTCTTGATTGTCTTTTTGCAACAGCTGATTTTTTAAGTGGGCCACGTCAGATGTAGAGGAAGGAAGCATGGCGAGCAATGACTAACGTGGATCGGTCCAGGTCTAAACCAGGTCTAAAGACTTAACCAGGAGGAGCTTAATGTGTATTACTCCAATCCAGGTCCAAACTAGGTCTAAACCAGTTTTAAATCAAGTCTAAACGAGGTCAAAGCAAATCAGTCGAATCCAAGTCCAAACCAGGTCTAAACCAGTTATTTTCCAGGTCTCCACAGGGACTAAACCGGTTGTATTTACTGAACCATGAGTATAGACCAGGAAGAGCTTTTTGTACATTAATCCAAACCAGGTGTAAACCAGGTCTAAACCAGATCTAAACCAGATCTAAACCAGGTCTAAGCCAGGGAAGGGGTGATGTGGTCTCTGGAGTGCGTGTGTGTGAGCAGGCCGGCGGCAGAGTTCTGGATGTATTGTAGCTTATATCTTAGCTTAAATAAATTCTTATAGAAGCCAAACTTACCTCCTACCTTACCTAATGTGCACTTTTTGTACTTTGACTTATTTCAAAAGTTAGTCTCTCTTTAAAATGTAACTTTGAGAGGGAAAAATGACCTGCTAACTGTGTCAAAATGACTTTTTTTTTTTTTAGAAGGGTAAAGTTCCCTGGATTACTCGTCATACTTTATTGAATTCTGAGGAGAAACAGCAGCCGGAGAAACTCACCTATTCATGAGTTCATTGCCGGCACATATTGCCTTGTCTTTTCTTTAAAACCTTGCCAGGATATGAGTGATGCCGCCGCGATACCAGCAGCCTTCACTTTGCCGTAATGACTAAAGATATAAAATGCCACGCCAGCCGCCCCTGACCATTATCATAGACTATAAGTGAAGCGAAGACGCCAAAGTATCACCGTGAAAGCCGGAGATTATGGTTGGGTTTGGGCTTCGGGTTTCGTGGGGACAGGTGCGTTCGTCTCCCGTGTGGGGGATGGATTCTCCGCGTCCAGAGTGAGCGGAGATAGAAACGACGTCTGTCAGGAAGGAAGCCGAGCTCAAGAAGCGACGGTGAAGAGAAGATTCATTACAGGAGAGATTACAACTGAAGGATATTGGAAACTTCTCAACTCCATGTGAAAAGTATCGCGTTTGTGGAAGTTTTTTATTCAGATGTTTCTACTCGACATAGTTCAAAGTTTCTCTAGTTATTTCTAGAAAAAAAATATTTGCAAAAACAGATGTGTTGAGAGGTTTTATTCCTACTGTTACAATCATCAATATGCCATTTGAACCAACTGGGACTCTGAGGAGCACAGGGACTGGCCTCTCACTGGGACTCTGAGGAGCACAGGGATTGGCCTCCTGCTGGGACTCTGAGGAGCACAGGGATTGGCCTCTTACTGGGACTCTGAGGAGCACAGGGACTGGCCTCTTACTGGGACTCTGAGGAGCAGAGGTACTGACCACTTACTGGGACTCTGAGGAGCACAGGGACGGGCCTCCTGCTGGGACTCTGAGGAGCACAGGAACTGGCCTCTCACTGAGACTCTGAGGAGCAGAGGTACTGACCACTTACTGGCACTCTGAGGAGCACAGGGGTTGGCCTCTCACTGGGACTCTGAGGAGCACAGGGACGGGCCTCCTGCTGCTGCCCAGAGTCTGGACTAAACATGGGGAGGCAGTCTCTCAGATTATTGCCCCTATAACTGAATGGGCGTGAAGTAAGAATGTGTTTGTGCTGATTAGCATGGATGGGGCTAAAAACAACTCCAGGTCTCTTACGGCTGAGCGAACAGTGTTGTGACATGGTTAAAACTCAAACGCTTTAAGCCTTTTCAGCGGCACAGAACCACGGCACTGTAAGACCCAAAGGATTAGGCCGATGTTTTTCAATTACCCATTCCATTTCTGTTTGTGTAAATTTGTTGGAAACAGTTTCGCAAAAACAAACTCCTTCAATGGACAAAGTGTATTTCATTTATTTAGTTTTTTCTTCTGTTGAATCCTCTGCACCTCACACATTAGTAAAGTATCTGTGTGGGAGTCACAGGATGTACAGATGAGAGGATGGACATCAGGATTACTTTGGTCATAGAGTAGAATGTGGAGGCAGCAGTTCAGGCGGAACGGTCTCTGATGATGATGATGATGATGTGGACGCCTCATCTCTGCCATTGTTCAAGTCTACGCTGAAAACCGTTCTTTTTAGTTGTTCATATGAGTTTTATATCGAGAGCTTTTATACAGTTTCAATTCTGACATAAAGTCTGAAAGGTTTTCCATTTCATTAGAATAGCTGGGCGACACGGTGGCTGAGTGGTTAGCCCCCTCGCTTCTCAGCAAGAAGGTGGCATGGCCTATCTGAGTGGAGTTTGCATGTTCTCCCTGTGTCTGCGTAGGTTTCCTCCAGGTGCTCCGGTTTCCCCTAACACTAAAACATGTGCAATGGTTCAGGGTGAATGAGTGTGTGTTTGTGAGTGTGACTGTGGGATGGAAATTAGCCCAAGGTACAATCCGGAGTTATGTGTTCATGAACTACTGTCCCAACCAAATAAACAATAAATAAATAATTCAAATTATTATTATTATCATTATTTATTTATTAATTTTTTGTGTTTTGTAAGTTCCACAAACATTGGCCAATTATATCCACTTCTTCACTGACTCCACTGATGTTTGCTGTTATTGTGTCCTTGGGCAAGACACTTTACCCACTTTGACTATAAGGAGCGTGGAAGTAATGTTCGCCACATGCCTTGATATGTGTGCATATGTATTCATCAGACTGAAATATCCCCTCTGTGGGACCAAAAAAGGACCTTCTTCTTCTTGATTTTTATGAATGAAACATGCAACAACTAGAAACTAGAAGTTGGGAAGCGGTCCTTATTGCCCTGTCCTTGAGTATTTCATCCACAACCATTAGTTCAGACTTAGCATGTATATTTGCCCCGTCTGGGATGAGCTGATGGAAAACATGTATCACGCAGGACTCTCTCCATCCAGGCTCGGAAAATGGATGGCGCGCTGAAGAGTCGGAGAGGGGAGTGATTAAGCTTTTCTGTGGCACATCCGTATCGGGCGGCGCCATTCGAGTCAGGGGACGGCGCCCTTATATATGGCCACGTTCCCCACCGTCGCAATCGGAAGGAGCAGCGCTGACACTATCAATGAGAGCGAGTCCAATGGGTCCAGGTGGGGAACGCCGAGCCCTGCCAGGAAATGGGAAAATTCTGGAGAAGAGTTTAAAAGCTGGTTGTGACTGCACGAGGGATGGAAGAAGAAATGACTTTATTAAAGAGATGTACATTATTATCACAGTGGAAATGGCCTTTGGGAAATCTGCGATAGTCAGGAGGGGCAATAGTCCACGGGTAGATTGGTAGGAGCAGGTAGTGTTGTCAAAATACAAGGGTAAAAGTCTGTTTCTGTAAGAAGAATTTTAAAATTGTTTGTATATCTGTGGAAGATGTAGGTCAGGCATATCAAACTCAGACCCGTGGGCCAAAGCCAAGCAAGACCTATTTTAGTGGCCCCTGAAATGATTGGCAATTATCACTTTTACAGTAACTTGGGATTATTATGGAATACTATGGCATGGCATGTGTCGTGGTGGTGGTGTGTCGGCAATCAGAGCTGGCCAAGTCTCAAGCACCAGTCCCTCGCTGATCCTCTGCAGGTGGTGGGTCCACAGGATGATGGCTTCTCTGTCATTGACGAGATGGCCTTGGTCTTTCAGCGGGGGCTTCAGGCATTGTGGGGTTAAGTGTCTTGCCCAAGGACACAATATGGTACTATGGCATGATATACTTAATGTTAAAGCTTATTCTCTCAGGGTAGCAACCATATAATTGTTTAGTTTGTCTAAAATGTTAACTAGCTTGTAATCAGAAGTTAAGCTAAATCCAAGATTTGTTTTATTTTTTGTAATCAAAAGAACTGTGGCCGAGTTGTGGTTGAATCCAAACCCACAAGAAAATAATATCCAAAGTCACCTGAATATGTAAAAAAAAAAAAAGATAATAAAAGTACTTTTGGCCCCAACCAGCTCTTATGTTTTTATAAACTAAAATGAGTTTGACACGCCTGATGTTGGAAGTGTTTTCACAAAAAGGTGAAGCATCCCATTATTATTGTATTTGTTTAATATCGACTGTACTTTCAACTGACCACTATCATTTGTCGTGTTAAAAAGTACATTATGGCAGTACTTCCAGGATCTTTTGTGGCTGTATAATTCCCATGGATCGATTAAAACAAATGGGTCAATTTTTCAAAGTGTACGACTGTGGAAAGGAGTAGCTCTCTGCCTTTTCTTTTGGATAAAAGTAGCTCTAATATTGAAAAGGTTTGTTTTAGTCTATTTCCTGGTGCTACCTGCTATGGGCTGAAGCGTGGCATGTCGGGGCTTGAATGGGCAGACATCTTGTATCTCCAGGGCTTGATATTTTTCCCATTTGTTTCATTTTCCTCTTTAAAGTAGTCCATGCTACAGTCTCTGGAACACCCTCAGTCGTTGTCCTCTGCCCCTCTCCTTTTTAGCGTCCTCAGCCTAAAGCATGACACACAGTTTACAAGCGGCGCGTTCGTCCGACTCAATTAGTAACGTCCTTCTCTTTACAACGTGTCGACATGATAAGCAGTCTTCAGAGCAGATTAAATTTGTGTGGTCGCGAGGAAGACGAGGAGAGGAAGACACGGCTCCATTCAAGTGGCCATGCTGTGCCAGAAGCATCATCCCTGCTGCAAAAAGGACAGTTAAAATTTGCATTTAGATTACTGTGGTAATAGAAAAACCATAGCAATGAATCTGCGGGCTGCAAAGAAAAGTAATGTGCGTGTATTTGGAATAAAATAGTAAAGTTTAACATGAAGTAAATCTGTGTGGAGAGCGGTAATAGAATAGTAAATATCGATGGAGTATCAAGTATTGTTTGGGGGTGGGTCAATATGCAGGGGCAGATTGGTTGTAAAGCAGTGGACATTGGGCAGTGACACCGGCTGTAAAAAGAGTAATGTGTCGGACCCGGCAGCTCGTGGTTCCAGAGGCCGTTAAATCACCGCTTAGGGATTCAGTGTTGGAGTCTACGGAAGAAAGGGCAGAATATAGATACAAGAATGTGGCTGTAGAGCAGGCCAACTTTTGGCTTAGGAGTGACCTCACTTTCATACCACAAATGATTAAGCAATATTACAATCCATACACTGCAAAACATGGTAAAATGTGTGGTATTAATCACTTGAATCAATGTTTGTTTGTTTGTTTTGTGTTAAAACAACTCTACTCTACTCTACTCGACCCAACCCTACCCTACCCTTTTCTACGCTACTCTACTCTACTCTACCCTACCCTACCCTTTTCTACGCTACTCTACTCTACTCTACTCTACCCTACCCTTTTCTACGCTACTCCACTCTACCCTACCCTACCCTTTTCTACGCTACTCTACTCTACTTTACTCTACCCTATCCAACCCTACGCTACTCTACTCTACCGTACCCTACCCTTTTCTACGCTACTCTACTCTACCCTACCCTTTTCTACGCTACACTACTCTACCCAACCCTACCCTTTTCTACGCTACTCTACTCTACCCTACCCTACCCTTTTCTACGCTACTCTACTCTACCCTACCCTTTTCTACTCTACTCTACTCTACTCTACTCTACTCTACCCTACCCTTTTCTACGCTACTCTACTCTACCCTACCCTACCCTTTTCTACGCTACTCTACTCTACCCTACCCAACCCTACCCTTTTTCTACTCTACTCTTCCCTACCCTACCCTTTTCTACGCTACTCTACTCTACTCTACCCTACCCTTTTCTATGCTACTCTACTCTACCCTACCCAACCCTACCCTTTTCTACGCTACCCTACCCTACCCTTTTCTACGCTACTCTACTCTACCCTACCCTACCCTTTTCTACGCTACTCTACTCTACTCTACCCTAGCCAACCCTACGCTACTCTACTCTACCCTACCCTACCCTTTCCTACTCTACTCTACTCTACTCTACCCTAGCCTTTTCTACGCTACTCTACTCTACCCTACCCAACCCTACGCTACTCTACTCTACCCTACCCTACCCTTTTCTACGCTACTCTACTCTACTCTACCCTAGCCTTTTCTACGCTACTCTACTCTACCCTACCCAACCCTACGCTACTCTACTCTACCCTACCCTACCCTTTCCTACTCTACTCTACCCTACCCTTTCCTACTCTACTCTGCTCTGCTCTACTCTAACCTTACCCAACCCTACCCTACCCTTTTCTACGCTACTCTACTCTACTCTACTCTACTCTACTCGACCCTACCCTACCCTTTCCTACTCTACTCTACCCTTCCCTACTCTACTCTGCTCTACTCTACTCTACTTGACCCTACCCAATCCTACCCTTCCCTACTCTACTCAGGTGTCCTAACTGATAGAGATGAACAGGAGTGCATCCAAAAGCCATGGTTGTCCAGGAAACACAGTAGAGTAGAAAAGAGTAGAGTAGATCAGAGTAAGAGTAGAGGGCTGTGCTTACCATACAGTGAGAATTCATAAAAGCCGAAGCTAAATTTAATTCATTCAACATTCATTATTGATTAAAAGCAGCAGGTCTCTCAGCGGGACAAGGGTTTTTTTCCAGGGTTTTTTTCACCTACAAAGAGAATCATGAAAAATAGGTTTTATCAAATGCTATTAAAACGCAGAGGTTCAGACCAAAAGAATGGATCAAGGTTTTTACGTCTAGTTTTTTTCCGCATTGTGTCAAATATTTAGATGAACTTTTCCATAGAGAAAAGAAAACAAAGAGAGGACCACGGGGCTCTTTCTTACGAATATGTACAAAATAAAACATGCACAAAATAACATGTTTTCGTGTTGGATGGAAACAGCATGATGTAGCCTGATTAGATTTAACAAGCAACTGTATGAGGTTGTAAAAACTTCCACACAAAAAAATACTTCCAAACCGCAGCCCTCTGTCCAGGACTGATATACAATCATTTCAGATCAGCGGCGGCCAAAGTAAAGGCCCACGAGTAAACTATTTGCAACCGAGGGATTTTGGCCCAGAGTCCTTCTTGGCCACGGCGGATCTAAAACCATTATGTACAAAAGAACAAGGCCACACATTTCTGACATAAATCCAGCCGCATGGCTCTGTACTCTGCTCCATCAGAGAGAAACATGGTCACGCCAAAGGTTTTGCTCACACCACACAACGAGGATAATTCAATTCCATTCCATTTGTTTTGTGCAGCCTGAAATCACCGCCGCAGTCGTCTCAGCAGACTTTACAAAGTTGACAGTGAACCATTAGCAACAAGAGATCAGAGAATCAAACTCAGGAAGTCAATAATTAAAAATATTGGTTCATACGGCACAGGAACGACCACTGTCCACGTCCCAGCATCGGCAAATAACTCAAAACTCACTTTGACAGGCTGTAGATCCAGGTGTCAGACTGTGGAATGAGGACTGAGGCTCCCAGGCGGGGTTTTTGGGGTGCAGACGAAGAGTCCATCTAATACATTTTTTTTATTGTTTGTAATGTGGCAAAATGAGACACCACCAGAGAAGCCAAACAGAGGCAATGGTGTCAGCTTTACGAGACTATAAAAGACCCAAACTTACTTAAATCACTGTAAACCATGAAGAGAGTGGACATAACAAGGGAAAACCACTGTGAAAAGTAATGACGTTAACATGTAATATCCCCTTTAAGTCTCTTTGATCGAAAAGATGCATTCCCTTAAATCAATCCGTAATAAACTTGGCCTTTTACTTTCACTTTCAACTGCTGGTTTTGACATTGACAGCCCGGTATCTCCTGCTCCCACTCCTCTTTGTAGTATCGGAAAAGGCTTGTACTCTTTCCCTGGACAGAGCTGTTTGAACTTGCTTGGATTTGCTGATAAATTATAAATCTATAGCCCTGAGAACGCCCGGTCTCTTCTGATGTGAGAGAATCTAGGGCGGGGCCTGGTTAGTACTGGGATGACGGACTAATGAAATGAGGCAGCAGTAGATATTTGAGAGATTTTACAATAAAACTCTGGACATCTGTGGTTTATTAGTGTTCCGGGCGTCTGAAAACTCTCTGCCATCTACGGTACAGAGCCTATCCCATGATCGAGACGCTCATCATAATCATAGACTGAGAGGAAGTAAAAAAGTGTATGTACTACTTTAAAATCCTTGTGTGTCTCAGTGCATGTTTGGAAGGATCTATCAGATGAATTAAAGCCTGATTACATTTAAAAGAATATTTTAAAACAATATGTGGAAGAAAAAGAGGGATTCCTTGAGCTCAGAGCAATTAGTGGGAGAGAGGTGTAGGGTCGGAGAGTGTTTGAGCCTGTGTGTTGTCAGAGTGCGTGTGTGTGTATGTGTCTGTGCGTGTGTGTGTACACCTGTGTGGGCTTGCCTGTGTGTGTGTGTGTGTGTGTGTGTGTGTTTTGTCTGTCTTATGCCACCTGATTGGCTGGCGGTCCGCTCAAAAGCAGCAGGTGTCCTGATGGCGCTCTCTCTCCCTCCAGCCTCTGACACTCTGATCCCAACCACGTCCTGGGACAGACGTGTCAGGCCACGCCACTCGTTCTTCATATGATTTGACTTTACACGCACTTGCACCCAACACATACATTTACACAAAGGTTATCGTACTGACTAGAACATAACAGTAACATATTCTCATTCAACACTCTTACCTTCACATAAGGTTCTCCGACTGATAATACTTGAATACACTCAGCCACTCATATTACACTCACACTGATCACAGTAATATTATTATTATTATTATTATTATTATTTATCAGTAAATGCCAACCATGGCTTAAAATCTGGTCCTTGTGTCGTTCCCCGTTATTCTTTGTTGCAGCCACAGAGCCGGGCTGTAACAGTGCTACGACTGTAACTGTAATGCACCGTTATATGTATTTTACTGCATGATATTGTTAGAACTGTGTGTGTGTGTGTGCGTGTGTCTGTGTGTGCGTGTCAGTGTCTGTGTGTGTCTGTGTGTGCGTCTGTGTGCGTGTGTCTGTGTGTGCGTCAGTGTCTGTGTGTGCGTGTGTCTGTGTGTGCGTGTGCGTCAGTGTCTGTCTGTGCGTGTGTCTGTGTGCGTGTGTGTGCGTGTCTGTGCGTGTGTCTGTGTGTGTGTGTCAGTGTCTGTGTGTGCGTGTCTGTGTGTGTGTGTGTCTGTGTGTGTGCGTCAGTGTCTGTGTGTGCGTCAGTGTCTGTGTGTGCGTGTCTGTGTGTGCGTGTGTCTGTGTGTGCGTGTGCATGTGTGTGCGTCATTGTCTGTGTGTGCGTGTGTCTGTGTGTGCGTCAGTGTCTGTGTCTGTGTGTGCGTCAGTGTTTGTGGGTGCGTGTGTGTGTGCGTGTGCATGTGTGTGTGCGTGTGTCTGTGTGTGTGTGTGTGCGTGTGTCTGTGAGCGTGTGTCTGTGTGTGCGTGTGCGTCTGTGTGTGCGTCAGTGTCTGCGTGTGCGTCAGTGTCTGTGTGTGCGTCTGTGTCTGTGTGTGCGTCTGTGTGTGCGTCAGTGTCTGTGTCTGTGTGTGCGTGTGCGTCAGTGTTTGTGGGTGCGTGTGCATGTGTGTGTGTGCGTGTGCATGTGTGTGTGCGTGTGTGCACTTGTTTTCAACTCCTAGTGGGTTCCATAACCTGAGATTCCACTCACGTCATGGGGACTGGTTTTACGTGGTGGGGCCCGAACACCGGACCCCACTGGTCCAAGCTTAATAATCAATGGGTAATGCTTTTCTAACGGTCCTTATGCAGTCTCTGTAAAAATATGGAAAGGACCCCTGGAGGTTTACTTTCCTGAAAAAAGTGTGTTATGTGTCGGAACCCTGGTGGTGGGTTGCGGGATATCAAGGAGGGGCACACTGGGGCAATTTCAGTCCAGCAGGCTGGAGCCAATCATGGAGCAGCACAACAGAGGAAATCAGGTGTCAGGCTAGAAAAAGGTGCAAGTGTGTGGTTCATTAGGCTGCAAGAAATCATGGAGGAGCACACTGAAGCGCACGCTTACAAACCACTGGTAAGTGCTGACTACAAGTCATGACTTCAAATTGTTATATAGAATGATTACAAATTATTTGTTGTTTGTGCAGCTTAGTCAAGAGTCCCTAATTGATGAAGTCGACTCAGATTCTGACGATTTAACTGTCAAGAAGAAACCTGTAAAAAAGTATGGAAAAAGAAAAATCAAAAACACTTTTCTTCAAGACTCGGAAAGTGACGAACCAAAGGCAAATAAGATTGTTATCATGCAGCTGCAAAAGAAGAAAAATGGGGGGCGAGTTTACAGCAAGAGACACTTCTGCCTCTACTGTTCAATGTCCTGCCACAAAATGTCCCGTCATTTGACTAGAAAACATGGAAATGAAAGTGACGTAGCCAGAGCATTGGCTCTACCTGTGAAATCTAAAGCACGTAAACTTCAGTTTGATTTGATCAGGAATAGTGGAAACCGTGAGCACAATTTTGAGGTTTTAAAGGCCGGCATTGGAACTTTAGTCCCAGCTAAACAGCCAAATTCCCCAGTTAAATCCAGTGAGTTTTTGCACTGTATAGACTGTGGGGCATTGCTTAAGCGAAAGTCGCTGTGGAGGCATGTGGCCAGGTGCCGGCTTTCACAGAAAGATGCCCAGGCTAAACCAGGTAGAAGTAGGGTCCAGTCCCTCTGCTCCCTAGCCCAGCCTGTACCGGAGGGCATCAGCAAAAAGCTGTGGTCTTTAATTTCGGCAATGCATCAGGATGAGGTCACGGGTGTTGTCAAAGCAGAAAAGGAGATTCTGAGACTCGGAGAGCACCTGTACTTAAAACACGGGCATGATAAGACTAAGCATGATTACATTAGGCAGAAAATGAGAGAAGTCGGTAGGTTAATTAACGAAGCAAAAACCGCAGGGAAACTGAAAACAATTAAGGATTTCTTTATTCCTTCCAACTTTAACCATGTGATTGATGCAGTCAGGTCTGTGGCTGGATATGATGAGGAAACAAATCAATACAAGACTCCATCCTTGGCCCTCAAACTCGGCCATAGCCTCAGAAAGCTAGCAGATATTCTTGAATGTGACTCAAAAATGGAGCATTGTGTTGATGAACTATTTATTAAAAACCTCCAACGAAGCCGGCTGCTTTTTGAGAAGAGGTGGGACGTCTGTGTTTCTTCTGCTGCCCTACAGACCCTCCGGCAAGCCAAGTGGAACACTCCGGACCTGCTCCCTCTGACTGAGGACGTTAGAGCCATGCATGCACATATTGAGGTATGTCGACCTGAATATGTGCAAACCCTAATAAGTGAGCCAACGTCTAAGCATTGGTCTAAACTGGCAGTTTTGACTCTTTGTGAGGTCATCATTTTCAATCGAAGAAGGGAAGGTGAGGTTTCAAAGATGCCACTGACAGCCTTTACCTTAAGAAGTAAGACTGGGATCCATTCTGACATTGCTCTGGGACTGTCCCAAATTGAGAAAAAGCTGTGTCAGCATTTTCAACGCATTGAAATTAAAGGGAAAAGAAGTCGGAAAGTGCCGGTTCTTTTGACTCCTGAAATGATTGCTTCGATGGAGGTGCTGGTGGAGAACAGAAGGGCCTGTTCCATCTCTGACCATAACCCATACTTCTTTTCCCGCCCGGGCGCAGACACCCACATCAGGGGATCAGACTCCCTACGCCAGGTAGCCAAAGAATGTGGTGCGGTGCATCCAGAGATGCTATCCTCAACCAAACTTAGAAAGCACATAGCTACTATGTCTACAGTTCTCAATATGAAAGAGAATGAGATGGACATACTTGCCAACTTCCTCGGCCATGACATTCGCATCCACAGGCAATATTACAGACTACCAGAGGGGACACTGGAGCTGGCCAAAATCAGCAAAGTGTTGATGGCCATGGAGCAGGGAAGAGTGACGGAATTCGAAGGAAAGAGCCTCGACCAGATACAAATTGAGCCTGAAGGTAATTCTTGATATTATTAAAATATGTATGATTTTTTTCCCCTAAAGGCCACTTGTATTTTTATTTTCTGTGCGACAGGGAGAGCAGTAGAGATCCTCTCACAAACGGACGGGCTAAAAGAAACTTCAAGCGGAGAACCTTCAACCATTCATCCAGATGCACCCCATGGTAGTGGCAGTGCCCCTTCTGGTAAGTGTACCAGGTGGGGGATTACAGCCAGGCTGCTTGGTCCTCACCCTGGGAGTGTATATTGCTAATATATTTTTATTTCTCTCCCTAGAACGTGTAAGAAAGCCATGGTCTGCATCTGAGGTGAAGGCTGTGGAGAAGACCATGACACCTTTCATACAGACTGGAAAGGTCCCTGGGAAGTCTCACTGCCTGGCCTGCATTAATGCCTCACCAGATGACCTTAGACATCGGACATGGAGTGGCATTAAATTCTATGTCAAAAATAGAATCACTGCAATTCGAAAACAAAATCTAAAATAAAATTCCTTTAAAATAGTTGTTTGGTTTCTATTGACTGTTTTGTATTACTTAAAGTCTTGGTAAAAAAAGATTATGTCTATGGGTCCCATTCTGAACGGCCCTGTCAAAGGGACCCACCAGGTAACAAAAACGTGTATGTGTGTGTGTGTGTGTGTGTGCGTGTGTCTGTGTGAGCCTGTGTCTGTGTGTGCGTGTGCGTCAGTGTCTGTGTGTGCGCATGTGTGATGGGGGTTGGAACCAAAAGAGTATTCGCTTCAGTTATATTCTGTTATATTGATATATGTAAAAATGTGTATTGTGCAGGTTTGAAATAAAACATGAATAAATAATTACTTCCGGGTCAGGCCAGTCTCTGTCTCTGTGGACGTTTATTTGATCGATGTCTGACCGTGGTGAGCCTTTACCCATGTTACAACAATATTGCATCAAAGACATTTCTTTGCCTTCATTCATTCTGTTGTGGCAAATGTTTGACAGATACTCGCCCACAAATTCATTTTTATTAGTGTATTGGCCTAAATCACTACAGCAGTCGTCTCGTAGGATTTTACTAAGATTTCCAACAACGGATCAACACAGAAAATGCCATAATAACTAACACAGAGAAGCCATTTGATCACGAGCGAATCTCACGTCTGATTCTCAAATCATTAACAAGGAATAAAACCAGGATTTCTATCTTTGTGAAAAAGGTGTTGGTTATAGATTTGTTGTTGACTAAACTCTTGTCTATTCAGCTGTTATGGTCCCAGCTGGATTCGTCTGCATATCTGGCAACCTGAGTCAGGGAGAGTGGGAGAGGCTGCAGTACCACTTTTGGCCACATGTTTACAGATTGCTCCTTTAATGACACTAAATGTGTCCGTAAATGTCCAGGATCATCGCTGTCTTGTATATTTATTCATATTCTGCTGAAATGTTCAAACCTGTTTCGAAGAGAACGGAGAATTTTCAGTAAAAAGTGTGGGACTATTTCCGGCACTGCACAGATCACTTAAACTCTAAAGCCCGGCTATCCAACTTCATCTTCCTGATGACCGGATTCTCAAAGGCTCAGCAGTGCACATCCTCCCTCCATACCAGTCTCCAGAGAATAGTCCAAATACTACAGCTCTTACAATTCGTAGTATTAGTATT